GCCAAAGACAAGGAAACAAGACGGAGCTAACGTTATACAAGGCCTGGGTATTAATCACCAACACGCAATGTCACAAGTTGTAACTGAATGAATATAAAACCAACTTTACCTTAATAAAAGTAACTTTCACGTTTCGTTATTAGCATTCAGTGTCAGCAGTTTAATTAACCACATGTAACTGTTTTTGCTGAAATCATTTCTGCAATCAAAAACGAGTGATGTGTATGATTCAGCATAGCATGAACTGACCTGATATGACATGAGAACTGCAGAGTCCAGCACTTCTAATTAGCTCCTCACTTCATTCAGCTCCCACTTAGCCAAAGACGTCTGCAGTCGGTATTAAAGCAGTGTGTTATGTATGGTAAAAGTTAAGTTTTCCATTTTTGGACTCGAATTCGGCATCCTACCGCAAAACATGACATCTTTCCCATTGTAGCCTGTCTGTTTTTTGCAACCGGGGACCCGTGTGACGTCATGTGTGACGTAGGTTGGTAATTGGTCTATTGGGTGAATGATACAACATGACACCAGCAGGGTTCACTCAAACATCATTAAAAAGAATAATTTCTTATTCTTAATTTCCATAATTTCCTCCTATGACTTCACTAGTCATCAAATAGACAGGAGGGACTGACTGCACATGAAGTCTTTTCCATCTATTTGATGATTAGTCGATTTTTTGGCTGTTCATTATGGAGACAGATAACCTTTGCATTTTTTATGCATTTGATAGTTTTGTGCAAACATAGTGCAAAACTTCATATGCAATAATTAAAAAAAATCAAATATTTAAAAATTTAAAATGAACAGAACTATTTGTGGAACACAACAGTTTTGCGATGACACATTTTATAAATGTTTTTTATGCCTTTTATAAAAATGTTGACTAAAAATAGCCGCAGAAAAAATTAATACAACATTGAATGTTAATGTTTTAGAACATTTGTAGAACAAACAAATTATAGCTGGGAAGTACTGTACATCTGACTCACTGCTGAAATGAATGCACACCATTCATAACATGAATGATTATACTGTTTTGTGTGCTTTTCATTTGTAGAATGTCGGATCGGCATATGTTATTTCTTCACCCCTCTGAACTGCTGCAACTATGACAAATTTGTTTTTTAAAACAAAACTTCATTTCTTCTTAAAAAGAAAAATAATAATGATTGGGAATTACATTTTCATGTACTTCCCACATTACTCTATCAATAGCAAATATTTGCACAGATGTATCACTAGTATAAGGTATAACACCTTGATCTGTTTTTCTTAGTTTCCTGGGCCCGGTTTTTCAAAAGGTTCAGTAATCCTGTTTTTGTGTGCTATTACGTGATCACAGATCGCAAAAACAGGATTATTAAATTCGGATAAATTTGATCCGGATTAAACCTTTTGAAAAACCAGGCCCAGCTGGGATCAGTTTAATCCAGTTTTTTTGGATCAAAGTGATCCAGATCCTACAAAAAAGGTCTGAAAAACCCAAACTAAAGGTTTGATCCGGATCAAAACCAAGATTGGATTACGTGATCTAATCCGGTTATGTAATCCGTTTTTTTCTTTTGAAAAACCCATTTTCAAGATTTGATCCAATCCCTTATCCAAAATCCTAGTGAATTACTTTTGAAAAACCGGGCCCAGGGCCAACCTTTAGTTTGGGTTTTTCGGACCTTTTTTGTAGGATCTGGATCACTTTGATCCAAAAAACATGGATTAAACTGATCCCATCAGAAGGGTGGATTTAGCGTGGATTTCATGCCTAAAATGTAATGAAAACTTAAAAAATGTATTAAACAATACTATTTTTGGATCATGCAGTATCTTACGAGATATACTATTTATTCATAAGGTTTTAATTTTATTTGTTCATCTGTCAGGCTATAGTGATTATTGGCTTTAACGTATTTAGCCTTTCTGTATAGGCCTCCAGCAAAGTAGAAAGAGTTTGGCCTCATAAAATAATCCCCCAAACAGCTGTCAAAACTGACCAAAAACAATCAATTTTATTCTGTCACTAATTGATATATACATATATGTATTCATCACAATGGAAAATATTTTTCTTATTAGAATATTTATTAATGATGATAGCAATGATTACAGAATAAACAAAAAATGCAAGAAATGGCAATCACTGATTTTTGAAATCTTTCAACAATTGCAAAAAGAGACTGAAAGGGCAGAAGCACAGCTTCGCCTGGCAGAGGAACAACTGACTCTGACCAAACTGCAGCAAACTAAGGCCAGACTTGAGATCCCCCTCCTAAAGGATACACTTCACATCAAATGAGGAAGTCTGAGATTATTGTGGAGTTTTTGACATTAAGTATTTTTTTTTATTTACATCTATATTTGAAACTTATTATAAATATCCTCAATGTACAGTGTTTGTGTTGTTGGTCTCAGATGAGCGGACTGCTGGAAAAGGATGGGGTGGGCTTTTTCTTGTTTTTCTTATTTATTATTATTATTAATTTAATATTTATTACATTTTCTTAGTTTTCATTTAAAAAAAAAAAAATTATATTGACCCCACGCTGGCTATTCTACTTGTCGCTCTTTACATATCTATAGTTCTACATTGTGATGTCCTATCCTGTTTGAGCACTGGTTATCCAGATTTAGTGATCCTGAAAAGTTCCTATCCAGATCAGATTGATCCAATCCAATGTTGCTTTGAAAAACTGGCTCAAAAAGTAAGCTGGATTACCTGATCACGGATCGCAAAAACAGAATTACTAAATCTGGATCAATTTGATCCGGATTAAACCTTTTGAAAAACCGGGCCCACAAGACTATAGAAACAATTAACAGAAATCCTCCAGCAGAGGGCAGACACGTGTACAACAAAGCAAGGCCTAGTTCTATAATGGATAAAATTCAGTATCAATGTGATGTTTTTACAACAAACAATATATAAAAAATATGTTTTAGTTAATAAACAACACAAAGGCCAATCAGTAGTGCTGTACCTGGACATGGTTGACAGACTGTGACGAGATGTGTGGTCTGGTTGCTGATGGGGTTATTGATCACACAGCTGTAGGTGTTGTTATCTTGATATTCCACTTCCAGAGGTAGAGAGAGACTGATGTTGAGATCAGACACACTTATGCTGGACAATACACTGTTTCCTTTGAACCAGGAGAGACTCACAGCGCTCACATTCACCACTGAACACAACACTGAACAATACTGCTCTGACGATGAACAGTCTCTGATGATGTCAGGAAGGGGCAGACAAACTGGAAAAAACATCAGAAAATAAACACTAATGAGAAAAAAACAAAGATATATTCGTTTAGATAACTTAAACAATCTGATAGAATTAATAGTGCACATGTTTTGAAAGCAGACAATGCTAAATGAGAAAATTAATAAACATGACACGTTACGAGTATACAGAGTTTTATGATATTTTATATTTTAATATTGTGTGTTATAAACAAGAAGTATGAAAATAGTATGCAATTTATGTCTCTAAGATAATAAAAATGCTAACAATATAATGTGCCATAGCAAGACAAAATAGTTATCAATGCTATTCTAGGTGTAAAATGTTAACGTTTACAATTCAATAGCTAAAAATTAAACATTATAGTGATAACTTAGTTTTAAGCTGAGTAGTTAATTCTCTGCTCACCATAGACAGTGATGTTGAATGTGTTGAGTGGGATGTCTGAGTTGATGCTGGTCACTGTGTAAAGTCCAGAGTCTGAGATTCTGCTGTTTGTGATGATCAGAGATCCAGTCTGACTGTGCAGCTTCAGTCTCTGCCTTATTGTCTTTTCTGCTGTATGTAGCTAAAAGAATTTCCTTTTTAGCTCCAAATCTCCACATTATCAAATCGTCGCTCTGGATTTCAGCAAGCTTGAAGAGTGACTGAATCTCCTTCAGTGATCGACACTGACTTTACTTCAAAAACACACACACCTGATCAACACACACACAATGGTCAGAAATTGCAGAATTGTGTTTTCGAAACTATTTTATTATTTGTTCTGCTTCACTTCATAAAGTCTTTAATTCAATATTGTGCAATAAAATTACTTCTGTGATATCACTGGAAGAGGCAAATTTTAAAATAACATAATAAACAGAGACTGTGCATTAGTTTGCTAAATCTAAACAAAGCAATTCATGTGGACAATTAGGACAAATAGTAATGATATGTACAGACATACTCACCATTTAGACTCCATGAGAATTAACAGAATAATATAAACATGTCAAATATATGCTTTGCCATTTTTGTTTGAGGGTTTTATAAAGCATTCTTAAAGTTTTTATGTTTCACAATAAAATAACAGAAGAGATGAAGAAGACTGTGCTGAAACTTTAAAGCAGATGTGAAAAACACCGTCTGTGCTGCTGGTGCATGAAGACACAACTTGCTCATTGGTTTAAACCAGTTTTTAGACGGTTGGGCTAAAAAGTTTTAGGAGTGGCCAAACTCACTAGTCTGAACAATCCCTAGTTTGCCAGCAGGCAGCATTAATTTTCCAACAGTTGGGACATTATTTGATTTTCATTATTTATTCCTTTATTTGTCAATCTATTTACAAACAAGTTATTAAATAGATGTGTTTAATTAGAGGTCATAATCTTACATAATTACACAAATTAAGTGAACATTGTGGAAAATTTTATTATTATATAGGCCTATTTGTTGCTCCAAGTGTAAGATAATTTTATTTTTATTATTATTTAGCCTGCAACTTAAACACTTCTTTTGCTGATTTAAAAAAAGAAACAAATATCCTTGTCGCCTGTCCTTACTTCCTTACATGCATTATTAATTTTAGTGTATTATCAGTAAATAAAAACAAATAGCTAAAAACTCGAAAGAATTATTCTTAATTTGTCTTTAAGAATAAAAAAAAAAAAAAAACACTTTCATCTCTCATGTTCGCCTATCAGTTCCGCTCTCCAGTTCAGTAGGTGGCGATAGAGCATCGTTAGAAATAGAGGAAATAGAAAACAGAAAACAAGAATACAGTTAGAGTGTCCGCTGTTAGAGTCGTGTAAGCTTTTTAGGGTAAAGTTATGTCATAGTTGGAAACTTAAAGTTTTTTTTTTTTTTTTTTTTTGGTAACATAATTACTCATAATTAGAAACTGTCGTTTCAGTAAGGGGTCTTGTGGCGAGTTTTGTTATAATAAATAGTCGCTATATCAGTTCAAAATCAAACACAAAACGAATATTTATAATGCCCATCGAAATCTGAATTTGCTGGAAACATCAACATTATGAAGAGGATTTCCACCTTCTTTCAGATTTTACTACTAACGTGCAGTAAGTGCGATATATCTGCTTTTTTAAACACTTTCGATTTCGCATTAACGCTTAACGTGAACAATTTACGTGAAGAGAAACCCACATTTCTGTCAAATTATTTTGTAATTAACACTAACTAACCAGCCCTAATTCCATAAAGAAAGCGAATAACGTTACACCACATGAAGCGCTTTCTCCCCCAAGTCCATTAACGTTATAAAAAAAGGAAACGTATAACGTGGCTTAAATGTACATTAACTTCCAAGCTAGGAAAAAGAAACTTCTATCAAAAATTACTTGTAATTAACACTAACTACTGTAAATACAATAAGTTGTTTCCACAGCTAAAGTGAACAATAATATTCTACGCATATTCACTTTGTCTATGGAATCAGGGCTTGTTATTTTAATTATAGTTTAGAAAAGTCAAGTTTGACAGAAATTTCCTGGTCAGTGTTAAGGTAGAGTAAGCTACGTTAAGCTGTTTCCTTATAATGGACTACTTCTGTGGAAGTTTAAATTGATGTTGTTCACTTTATACACTAAAATAAGGGCTGTTACATTAAACTATAGCTGTAATAATGGACTTCAGTGGGGTAGAAAACTTTTTATGTGACATTGATATTAGTTATTGTTAATTACAAGTAACATTTGATAGAAATGTGTGTCTCTCTGGTTAGTTGTTTAGGTACATTAAGCCATATTAAGCATTTTTCACGTTAAACATTTTATAATTTCCCCAATGCTATCATAATGTCTTTGTTCTATGTTTCCTTAAGTTCTCAGTATCTTTGTCTACAGCAATAATCCAAGTGCATTTGATCTTATGTAAGGTACTCTCGCTTACTCTGTAACCTGGGCCCGGTTTTTCAAAAGTAATCCACTAGGATTTTGGATAAGGGATTGGATCAAATCTTGAAAATGGGTTTTTCAAAAGAAAAAACGGATTACATAACCAGATTAGATTATGTAATCCAATCTTGGTTTTTATCTGGATCAAACCTTTAGTTTGGGTTTTTCAGACCTATTTTGTAGAATCTGGATCACTTTGATCCAAAAAACCTGGATTAAACTGATCCCATCAGAAGGGTGGATTTAGCGTGGATTTCATTCCCAAAATGTAATGAAAACTTTAAAAAATTATTAAATAATACTATTTTTGGATCATACAGTATCTTACAAGATATACTATTTACTCATAAGGTTTTAATTTTATTTGTTCATCTGTCAGGTTATATTGAGTATAGGCTTTAACGTATTCAGCCTTTCAGTATAGGCCTACAGCAAAGTAGAAAGAGTTTGGCCTCATAAAATAATCCCCCAAACAGCTGTCAAAACTGACCAAAAACAATCAATTTTATTATGTCACTAATTGATATATACATATATATATTCATCACAATGGAAAATATTTTTCTTTTTAGAATATTTATTAGTGATGCATGCAATGATTACAGAATAACAAAAAAAATGCAAAGAATGGCAATGACTGATTTTTGAAATCTCTTTCAACAATTGCAATAAGAGACTTGAATGGCAGAAGCACAGCTTCGTCTGGCAGAGAAACAACTGACTCTGACCAAACTGCAGCAAACCAAGGCCAATGTCTTGAGATCCGCCTCCTAAAGGCTACGCACAGACAAGCTGGCCTCTCCACATCAGATGAGGAAGTCTGAAAGTATTGTGGAGTTTTGACATTAAGTCTTTTTTTTTTTTTTTTTACATCTATATTTTAAACTTATTATAAATATCCTCAATTTACAGTGTTGTAGGTCTCAGATGAGCGGTCTGCTGGAAGAGGATGGGGTGGGTTTTTTTTTTTGTTTTTATTATTTATTATTATTATTATTTTAATAATTATAAAATTTTCTTAGTTTTCATTTAAAATAAAAATAAAGATATATTGACCCCGCGCTGGCTATTCTACTCTTTACATATCTATAGTTCTACATTGTGATTTCCTATCCTGTTTGAGCACTGGTTATCCAGATTTAGTGATCCTGAAAAGTTCCTATCCAGATCAGATTGATCCAATCCGATGTTGCTTTGAAAAACTGGCTCAAAAAGTAAGCTGGATTACGTGATCACGGATCGCAAAAACAGGATTACTAAATCAGTTTCAGTTCAGTCAGTTTCCTTTATTTATGTCATTTAAATCATCACTATAGAATTGTAATGCAGAACGAAATTACGTTGCAACAGACCCAACAAGAACATAAAAAACATCACTATAAAAACACTATAAAATCCTAACATGATAAATAAGCTTTTATAGTTCCATAGAAATATAAAAAAATATATAATTATATAAGATATAACCTATTTTTTAAAAAAACTAGCTATCAACAACGCTTAAGAAATGGTATTATTTAAAAGTCTTATAATGACAGGATAAAAACTATCTCGAAACCGCACTGATTTGCTCCTCAGACTTCTGTAATGCCTGCCTGATGGCATGAGTGAGAGCAGGCTATGACCAGGGTGGGTTGGATCCCCTACAATGTTATTTGCCCTAGACAGACAACGGCGTTGGTAAAGTTACTCGATAGATGTAATTTTGACTCCAACAAACCTTTCAGCTGACTTTATGATCCTCTTAATGGTGTTCTTATCAGACACACTGCTATTCTCATACCAAAGGGAGATGCCATTAGTAAGAACACTCTCAACAGCTCCTCTGTAAAAAGTTGTGAGAATTGATTGGCTGAGGTGTGCTCTTTTCAACCTTCTCAGAAAGTGCAGTTGCTGGTGCGCTTTCTTCGCAAGACGAGTGGTATGGAGAGACCAAGTCAGGTTCTCAGTAACATGGACCCCCAGAAATTTTATCTGCTGTACAGTCTCCACAGCAGTGTTATTAATATATACAGGGGAATAAGTGGGGCGTTTCTTCCTGAAGTCGATCACCAACTCCTTAGTTTTATCAACATTCAGAACTAAATTGTTTTCCCAGCACCACTCTGTGAAGAGCTTTACTTCCTTCCTGTAGTTCCTCTCATCATTATCCTGGATGAGACCCACTATTGTGGTGTCATCAGCATATTTAATAATGTGATTAGTGCTAAGTTTTGCACAGCAAAATGGGTCATCAGAGTGTATAGCAGTGGACTCAAGACGCACCCCTAAGGGGAGCCTGTATTGAGCTGAGTGGTAGATGACGAAATACCCTCCACTCGCACAAACTGTGGCCTATTTGTCAGAAAGTCAAGAATCCAATTCCGAAGAGGTGTATTCAGACCTAGAGATGCTAATTTATTGACCAGGTGCTGAGGAATAATAGTATTAAAAGCAGAGCTAAAATCAACAAACAGCATCCGTACCGATGTGTTTCTACTCTCCAAGTGTTCAAGACTCAGATGCAGTGCAGTGGATATAGCATCATCAGTAGACCTGTTTGGCCGATAGGCAAACTGAAGTGGGTCAAGTGAAGTAGGAAGGATGGAGGTGATATGACTTTTTACCAGTTTCTCAAAGCATTTCATTATTAGTGAAGTTAAAGCTATCGGCCGATAGTCATTTAAAGAAGGGACTGAAAGTTTTTTTGGCACTGGAATGATAGCAGATGTTTTGTAACATGATGGCACAACAGCTTGATGCAGAGAGATATTAAATATGTCCGTCAGAACAGGCGCAAGTTGTTCTGCACACCCCTTGAGTACTCTGCCTGGTATTTTGTCAGGGCCTGCCGCCTTACCAGTGTTTACTTTCTTTAGGGTCTTGCGGACATCAGTGATATCAAAGCTTAGCACCTGCTCGTCATGCTGCAATGTGGCCTTCACTGCTGGTGTATTATTAACAGCATCAAACCTTCCAAAGTAGTTGTTAAGATCATTAAGAAAGTCAATGTTATTTTCACAGGACAGTGATATGCTTTTATAGTCTGTAACAGACTGAATACCCTACCATAAACTTCTAGTGTCTTTGTGGTCCTGGAAGTATTCTTTAATCTTATTTCCATGGGCTCTTTTTGCCACTCTGATTCAGATTGGCCCGAGCAGACCTAAGGACAGCTGCATCCCCACACTTAAAAGCAGAGTTTCTTGTTTTTAGCAAAGCCCGCACCTCTGCAGTCATCCAGGGTTTCTCATTTGCTCTGACTTTAATGTTCTTAGTGACACAGACATCCTCCATACACTTAAAAATATAACTGGATACAGCATCAGCATATTCATTAATATCTGTGCCTTGACCATTTGTGGAGGCCTCTCTGAACACAGTCTAGTCTGTGCAATCAAAGCAGTCCTGTAATTCAGACATAGCTCCCTCTGGCCATGTTCTCACTTGTTTTATAGAGGGCTTGGTACTTGTGAGACGGGCTTTGTATGTTGGTATTAACATAACAGAAAGGTGATCTGATGAGCCAAGATGGGGACGAGGAACTGCTTTGTATGCCAGTTTAATGTTTGTGTAGACATGATCCAATACATTCATACCTCTTGTGGCAAAATTAATGTATTGAAAAAAGTGGGGGAGCACTTTCTTCATGTTTGCCTGGTTGTAATCACCCGCAGCAATGATTACTCCTTCTGGATGAGAAGTATGAAGTCTGTTTATAAAATGGTATAATACATCAAGGGCTGTTTTTGTATCTGCATCTCGAGGGATATATACAGCAATAATAAAAACAACGGAGAATTCTCTCGGAAGATAAAAGAGGCGGCACTTTACTGTCAAAACCTCAATATCAGGCGAACAGTATGAGTAGATCATATTTACATCCTCTACCATCTATTATTAATAAAGATGCAGAGACCACCACCTCGGGATTTCCTGCTGAGTGTGCCGTTTCTATCGGCCCGGAATACAATTAGCCCCGTTAGGCTTATCGCTTCATCCGAAATGGAATCATTTAACCCTGTCTCGCTAAAAACTAGTGTACAACATTCTCTCACCTCCTGTGTCGATGTTAACTCGAGTCTGAGGTTGTCCAGTTTGTTTTCTAATGATCGGACATTTGCCACCATCAGTGAAGGCAGCGAAGTTTGGCAGGGAAAAGCTCGTAGCCTAGCTGCTGCTCCTCC